AATTTCAGCTTCTAGTACTCTTTGTTCCATGAAGTCTTTTCCAGTCAGTCCAGCCATTATCTGCCTATGACTCAGTAGAGCTGTTCCTGTCTTCTTAATTCTTGTACTTTCTGTCACTCAGTATCCTATAAGTGCTTAATTATATTTCATAATAACTGCATCAATACTCAAATAAGGAAAAAAAAAAATAAGAAGGAATGCTGCATGCAGAAAGAGGGACATTATTAAACCAAGAGCATGAAAAAGTTCATACAAATCCAACTAAGCAGCATTTATTAAGACTCTTATCATGAGCAAGTCATAGCAATTTTTTATTAAAATAGATGTACAAGTTGGATTATATTTAGATTGCATGGATATGAAAAACATGTGGTTTAAATAGGAGTTTTTATGCCATCCATGAAGCTATGATTTTCTATTTGTTTCCACTTTGATACTGACTCATTCAGAGTCAGGAAAAAGAGCACATAAGTCAAGTGGAAACTCCCATCCATTCTGGATGTTTTATAGGACCTTCAGCACCTCTGTTCCATTTATTTTTATGCCTTCCGGTAAGAGATACAGCCTCTTAGATTTGGGTAAATGATATGACCTCATTTCTTAGAACCTTTTGCCTTGAGTCACTGTTTTCTATTGTTACTGGGTCAGTTCTAGGGGTTTAGGGAGGCTTTGCTCTGGTAACCTGCACTGGACATCAACTCACACAACCTAGTTCTGAGTTCTAGCTCCAGAGTGACCAGCTGGGTATTGTTTAAGTCAGTTAAACTTTTGAAGACTAAGTTTACCCTTCTTTTAGGTAGGGCTAGTAGATGAGAGAATAAAGCGCAAGTATATAAACCTTAAAAGGAATTTCTTAAGGGAAACATAAAGTATTTTCATAGCTTATGCTAGCCATCTTTTCATTGTTAGATAAGACAGATCACATCCTTATGACTGTAGGCCCAGTTACACTGGCCTCCTTGCCATAGCTAAATCATTAATTTCTCTCTAACATCAGGAGGTTTGTTCTTGTTTTTCCTTCTGCGTGGAGAGCTCTTGTCTGACCTGTACACAAGTGCCTCATTCACTTTCTTAAAGTCTGTGTTCATATATTCTCTGATGAAAGAGGTCTTCCAATCCCCCTATATAGAACAATACTCCCTATTCGCTCCCTATTCTCTCTACCATGCTTTATTTCTTCAGAAATGATCTATATACAGCATTTATCACCATCTATCTCTATCTCAATAAAATCTATACTCCTTGAGAGCTGAGGTTTTATGATTGCTTTTGCCCCAATATCTAGAATAATGTCTGGTATATACAGCCTTTCAACAAGAAATATATATTGAATGAATGAATACACAAATGAATTTTCCCTAACCTATCAGTGAAGGGTCTGAGCTTTGCTAAGTGTGATATCATATAACTCCAAAACTTCTCAATGCTATAACCAATGGCAAGTGTAACATCTCTAGGCCACAAGTTACTTTTCCGTAAAATCTAACGATACTAAAGGTTGGCTAAGCTGGGTTGGCCCATGTGTACCTACTTCTAATACAATTTTTTCATTTCAGCCAGAGTAATCTTTTTCAATTTAGAGACCATCTCAAGATTAGATTTGACACATTGAACACTAACAACCGAAGACCAGATGAGTTGTGGAATGATAATGAGGACATTATACATGAAGAAAGCAAGAGGTCATTGAAAAGACAGGAAAGAAAGAAAAGACTAAAATTGATGTCAAAACCAACTCTAAAACTTGTTCTTGAATGTTGAATAGCCAAAGTAAACAGAAAAAATGATGAAGTAAGAAAGCTGAAATGAAGACTTCAAAGGGCGACTCGAGAAAACAAAGTAAAGTATTATAATGAACGATACAAAGACCTGGAGTTGAAAAACCAAAAGGGAAGAACACAGTTGACATTTCTCAAGCTGAAAGAACTGAAGAAAAAAGTCAAGCCTCAAGTTGCAATCTTGAAGGATTCTATGGGGAAAAAATTGAACAATGCAAGAAGCATCAAAAGAAGATGGAAGGAATATACAGAGTCTCTGTACCAAAAAAAAAAAAAAAAAAAAAACAACTGGTCAAGGTTCAACCATTCCAGGAGGTAGTATATGATCAAGAACCTATGGTACTGAAGGAAGAGGTCCAGGCTAAACTGAAAGCATTGGTGAAAAACAAGGCTACAGGAATTGATGGAGCATCAGCTGAGATGTTTCAACAAATGGATGCAGCACTGGAAGTGCTCACTCGTCTGTGCCAAGAAATATGTAAGACAGCTACCTGGCCAACCAACTGGAAGAGATCCCTATTTGTGCCTATTCCAAATAAAGAAGATCCAGCAGAATGTGGAAATTATCAAACAATACCACTAATATCACACACAAGTAAAATTTTCCAGAAGATCATTGAAAAGCAGTTGCAGCAGTACATGGACAGGGAATTGCCAGAATTTCAAGCCGGATTCAGAAGACAACCTGGAACGAGGTATATCATTGCTGATGTCAGGTGGATTTTCGCTGAAATCAGAGAATACCAGAAAGAGGTTTACCTGTGTTTTATTGACTATGCAAAGGCATTCAACTGTCTGAATCATAACAAGTTATGGATAACATTGTGAATAATGAGAATTCCAGAATACTTGATTGTCCTCATGAAGAAACTGTACAGAGACCAAGAGGCAGTCGTTTGAACAGAACAAGGGGATACTGAGTGGTTTAAAATCAGGAAAGGTGTGTGCCAGGATTGAATCCTTTCACCATACTTATTCAATCTATATGCTGAGCAAATAATCTGAGAAACTGGACTATATGAAAAAGAAAGCAGCATCAGGATTGGAGGAAGACTCCTTAACAACCTGTGATATGCAGATGACATAGCCTTGCTTGCTGAAAATGAAGAGGACTTGAAGCACTTAACTGATAAAGATCAAAGACTACAGCCTTCAGTGTGGATTACACCTCAACAAAAGAAAACAAAAATCTTCACAACTGGACCAATAAGTAACATTGTGATAAATGGAGAAAATACTGAAGTTGTGAAGAATTTCATTTTACTTGGATCCACAATCAATGCTCATGGAAGCAGCACTCAAGAAATCAAATGATGCATTGCACTGGGCAAATCTGCTGCAAAAAAACCTTTTTAACGTGTTCAAAGGCAAAGACGTCACTCTAAAGACTAAGGTGCCCCTGACCCAAGTCATGGTGTTTTCATTTGCCTCATATGCATGCGGAAGCTGGACAATGAATAAGGAAGCTGAAGAAGAATCGATGCGTTTGAATTATGGTGTTGGCAAAGAATATTGAATATACTGTGGACTGGCAGAAGAACAAACAAATCTGTCTTGTAAGAAGTACAGCCAGACTGCTCCTTAGAAACAAGGATGGTGAGACTTTATCTCACTTACTTTGGACATGTTATCAGGATGGACCAGTCCCTGGAGAAGGACATTGTGCTTGGTAAAGTAGATGGTCAGTGAAAAAGAGGAAGACTCTCAGCGGAATGGATTGACGCAGTGGCTGCAACAATGGGCTCAAGCATACTAATGACTGTGAGGATGGTGCAGGACTGGACAGTGTTTTGTTCTATTGTACATAAGGTCACTAAGTCGGAACTGATTTGATGGCACCTAACACACACTCACACAATGTTTTAAAATATAAACCTAATTAAGTTACTATGTAAAGAAAAAATCCTTTAAATGATTTGCCTAGGATAAAACAAGTAATTACTTTAATGATATTCTTAGGACAAAGGTCAAAATCCTTAACTTGGTCTTGCCATATTTAAAACCTGCCTTCCTTACAAAGCTCATCACTTGTCACCTCTGTACTTCAGCCTTGACAGTCTTCTTTCAGTCCCCTAACAGCACAGTAGTCTGTCTTGCCTTCAAACCAGTTTTACCTTGCCCTCCACTCCTTTTCCCTCAATTTCTAAAGTAATCTCTTTTGCATAGCCAATTCCCGGACTTGTTTTAGCACGTACAATTTCAAGTCTCAGTTTAAATGCAAGCCTTTTTTCTGTCTGTCTTCCCACCCTATCTCTTTATCTATCTACCTGTCTACCTCCCTACTTATCTAGCTACCTAGCTACCTACCATCTATAGTAGACATATACATATAATGTAACTATATTTTTTTTTAAGTTTTATCAGAAATGTTAGTAATCCCTGTGAAGAAAATGGTTAATATTTATTATTCAAAATAAAATAAACAGTAAAAACTCATTTCAGATTATCCTGTTAAAAACAAGTAACTTGTTATGGGGAACATAAATACTGTACAATTAATGCTACTCCATTAATATTGTCATGGATTGAATTGTATCCTCCCAAAATATCTGTCAAGTTGGCTAGGCCATGATTCCCAATATTGTGTGATTGCCCACCATTTTGTCATCTGATGTGATTTTCCTATGTGTTATAAATCCTATCTCTATGATGTTAATGAGGCAGGATTAGAGGCAGTTATGTTAATGAGGCAGGACTCAATCTACAAAATTAGGTTATGTTTTAAGTCATTCTCTTTTGAGATATAAAAGAGAGAAGCAAGCAGAGAGACATGGGGGACCTCACACCACCAAGAAAGCAGCACCAGGAGCACAGCATGTCCTTTGGACCTGGGCTTCCTTTGCTGAGAAGCTCCTAGTCCAGAGGAAGAATGATGACAAGGACCTTCCCCCAGAGCCAACAGAGAGAGACAGCCTTCCCCCGGAGTTGGCACCCTGAATACAGACTTCTAGCCTACTAGACTGTGAGAGAATAAATTTCTCTTTATTACTGCCATCTGCTTGTGGTATTTCTGTTACAGCAGCACTAGATAAATAAGTATCTACTATTTACATGGTATTGTTGAAGACTCTATCTTCATTAGTTTTTTTTTTTTTTTGGTTCCTTCCGAAGATATAGAAGCAATAAATGCCCCCAATGATCATGTTCATCAACTTTTTAAAAAGGCCTTTTGAAGCTGAAGAAACAAAGATCAGAGTAGTAGTGACTGGGGATGGATCTTACCATCAAGATCGTTCTCTGGGGTCTCCACTGTGTACCAGTTGGAAGGTGGTCCAGTGCCGTTGACTGTCATGGCTGACACTTGGAAACTGTACTGACTTCCTTTCTCCAATCCTATAAAGGAATTTTCCAGGGAGGAAAAAAGTTACTAAACAATAATCATTTTTAGCTGCTTTCAGAATTTTTAGTAAAATTTTAACAATAGTAGAAACGTTTTATGTTGTTTTGTGATTGTTGTGGTAATTATTGTTATTTTGGCCAAAAGGGCAGGGATATAACAGCAAGAAATCAAATTATTTTTCATATATTCTCATTTATTTTTTTTCCAGTTTTTAAAAAAAAATACATCCTTGAAAATAGCCTCAGGGCAGATGTAGAATATAAATTATGAAGGATGAAGAAATAATCAAAAACAGCAAGGATCATTTTTCCTCACAGTCCAGAAGAGCCCTGCCTATAAATCAAGACGACCAGTCTGAAAATTTATGTCTCCATCATTCATTCAAGGTCAGTGATTATGTTTTTTGGGGGCCAAGAAAGAAGAATCCAAAGCTAGTGCACTTCAGCAGAAAATACTAGGGCTTTTGTCTCTCCAAACCATCACAAAGCATACTTTGTTTTACATTAGCTTCCATAAGCATGAAGAAAACCAATGTCTTTGATAATTTGGATACATAACATTGTACACAGTGATGACCTTACAATTTACCTAAGAAAGTACAGATAGTACAGGTAGACTGAAAAGCCCCCATGGATCACTACTCTGAAATGTGGTTATTTTTGATATAAACTTTCCTCTCACCTAAATCTCAAAGTAGCAGCTCATTAACATGACAAATTATGGTAAAACAAATGGCACTTGTCAAAAGACCATATGACTTTTTTTTTTGAGATATTGAGGACTCGGTTTAAACTGACAACTCCTTCATCCTCAAGGAGTTGAGTGACCCTGATAGAAATGAAATCTCTTTCTGTTTTTTCTATTAATCTGAAACGGCAAAAAAATTTGGGCCAAAAAATTAATAAATACAATAAATCATTGGGAAAATGGTGCTTATATCATATACAAAATCACATATCTGTAGTTTTTATTTCCCTTGGAAGATGAGTAAAACTCATATTAAGGGGGATTCTAACTTACTACTAATAGGAGGTGCTGTTTTAAGTGATGATTAGAAAGGAATTGTTAATGTCAAGGGGCAGCTGGCTTCAATGAATAGTGCAATAATAGTACTGTTAGAGAAGACAATTTGATACATTTACCCACAAAAGCTATCTACAACACAATATGCTGCCTTCTTAAAAAGCTTCTAATTTTATAAGGTAGACTGTAATCTCCATGAAGACATGGACTGAGAATATTGCTGGTAGTGCTGTTGTTATTTTTGTTATTATTGGTGTTTTAATTGTGTATCTATAGTGTCCCCTACAGTGCCTGGCATGTGGAAGGTGCACATGCAAAAATAACTGTTGAAAGATCTGACAAAGCTGAGCTGGTAAAGCAGTAGAGAGGAAAGAGAGGTTAAAGACAATATCCAGCATCATCAACAAGGTGGCAAAGAGATAAACTTTTTTTGAAAAAAAGGGCTTTGCCATGCCTCAAGCCGGCTCCCACTCACCTAGATTTGTCCTTTAGTTAACATGCCCTGGATCTGACATTTGTTAACATTTTGCAGCTTTTCTTAGCCACTGTTGGAAACCCTGGTGGTGTAGTGGTTAAGAGCTATGGCTGCTAACCAAAAGGTCAGCAGTTCAAATCCACCAGGCTTTCCTTGGAACCATATGGGGCAGTTCTACTCTGTCCTATAGGGTCGTTATGAGTCGGAATCAAATCGATGGCTATGGGTTTGGTTTGTTTTTGTAGACACTGTTGCTGATGACTTAAGCAGAAGGATTGCAGAGCTCTTCTGGGAAATTAAAATGTTAATAGGGAAAGAACCCCAGGAAGAAATGCCTATCTAGTCATCACAGCCCAGGCCTTTCATAGTGGTTTTGTCTGAAATGATCAAGAGTTTTTGTTCATCAAGAATATACTCTTTTATATTATGCAAAGTAGAGATTTAACTTCATTTTTTTTTTGCTATAATGGATAAACAATGCCAGTACTGTCTCCATCAACTGATTTGAAATACCATCAGTGATGGTCAGTTTTATGTAACACCTTGGCTTGGCTAATGTCCTCAGTTATTCAATCAAACAATAATCCAGGTGTTGCTATGATGGCATTTTGTAGATGGTATTAAAATCCACAATCAGTTGACTTTAAGTAAGGGAGATTATCCTAGATAATCTAGGTCAGCCAGATTCAATCAGTTGAAAGGCCTTAAGAATAGGTCTGAGGCTTCCCTGAAGAAAAGAATTTGTTCCAGATTACCCTTCCTGATGGCCTGCCCTACTGATTCCAGACTTTTACTAGCTGGCCCCACAATCAAGTACGCCAATTCCTTGCAATAAATTTCTAAATATTTAGCTCCTACTGCTTCTGTTTCTCCAATTGAACGCCGACTGGTATACCATTTTATCACGTGTAATATTTTGACACATAAATAAGAATCTTTCTGGATGAACAGTACTTGGTTCCATTCATTTGACTTTTATGTCAAGTAACTGTATGTATATCCATCAATTTTTGTTAGAAGCTAGTTAAAATATGTCACTATATATTAATATGCAAACGTCTCCCTATAATTCTGACAAATTTTGATTTCTATATTTTGAATTCAGGATTTTTCAGTCTCATGAAATCCATTTTGAATAAAACAAAACTTGCTAATAACTTGAAGTGGACATCAGAAAGCAGGTTAGAGACCAAGTATGTTTTTCAAGCATTCCCCATGGGATCTCACCTGGTCAGCCCAAGCTATTTATCAGAATATCCCTTTTAACCATATACACTAGGGGAGCTGCTCAGATCACTCTCTGCAGTGAAGTTTTAGCACCCATACAGATTAATGCCCTAGGTAACTCTGAAAATCCTGTCAAATTTCTTTGAAGTACTATATTTTATCTAAAAGTCCTTCACTTTCCATTTATTCTAGAATGTAGGAGTGGAATCTCTCTCAGTACGAACACTAGAAATGCAAGATTAAGTATAATAAAACATTTAAGAATGCACATAGATTCCCAATATTAAGTAATATCTAATCAGATGGTTCATCAAGTGCTGTATATCCAACAAAGTGGTCCTATAAATGAACCAGAGATACCTTCAGGAATGAGAAATTCACTAAGAGAGCCAACCAGGTTCCAATAGTTTTGCTTGTTAGAAAACTTCTTCCTTAGATCATACTGAATCTGTTTTACTATAATATTATTTAGAGATTTTAGATGCCCCCATTGGGATCAAAAGAAAAAAGAAATAGAAAATTGAATTCCTCTTTCGGAATATATTTACCCAGGTCTTCTGATTCCAAATTTAGTGTTTTCTGTACCAAATCCTTAACAACAGAGTCTAACCTGTGACCCTTTTCTACGTCTAGGTAAGTGTAGGATGAGGTGATAAGCAGAATCAGAAATTTTGCTTTTTTAAGATAAACAGTCTGGGAATCACTAGGAATCACCTTCAGAACTCTAGGCAGCACATGTTCCTGCTTCTTTGTTGTGAGGGGCAAATTTTAGATGTGCTGAAAGCTCTTTAATCTCAGCATCTCATCTAAAATAAGGAGTTAGTAATACTTACTTCTGCCTTTTAGTGTTCCTGTGAAGATCAGATGGCAAACTGCTTGTAATTTATAAAATCAAGCGTTTGATAAGCAAAGTTAACTAACATTTGTATGGTGCTTTGCAGGTTGTTTTCTAACTTGATTTTCAAATACCATGTGATTTAGGCACAGGCTATACTATTACTCCTATCTTAGAGATTAGAATAAGAAGGCTCAGAGAAATTAAGCAAGCGCACTCTGTGGTGTTTTAGTCAGAGCCTGGTCTACCCTTGAGTAAAGACTCTGGACTCTGTCCTATCTCCTGTGGGGTCCATATAGACCCTTTTGTTCTCTTCAAAGGCTCCCCCTGCCAAGACTGAGGCCCAAGAAAGACAACAACAGCAAATATAAAGCGTTATAAATATGCAAGGAATCTCTGTTTATAATAATTACACCCAGAACTGAAAAATGAATACTAGGCAGGCAGGATGGAATAGATGCTTATCTTATTTTGACAGTGAACCCAGTAAGAGATCAATAAAACCTGAAATGCCGTTTAAAGAAAGTTACGTTGTTTTATTGCTTAGAAAACATGTTACTCTGTTGGGAAGAACAGGTATCTTCAAAAGCTATACTAACAACCTCCATGAAAGAGCAATTTTCTGGCCCAACCCTGATAGCTGATATTGAAAGACCTTTCAATGCTGCTTTTATTCATTCATGCATTCATTCGTTGGTAGTGGAGTAGAGGGAGGCAAGTCTGTAATCAAAGGCTTTCTGTGTGTGCTTGTATTTCTAGTGGTCGTTATCTGGGGTATGTTTCCTGAGTTGCGCTAGTAGGAATATTAAACAATAATTTTTAAAACCAATTGGTTAATAAAGTTTTGATTTAATCTCTTCTCAAGTTTTTCAGCTTCCGTAGGTGCAAAGATAATCTTCAATTTTCATTATCCAATAAATATCTCCTTTCATTCTTGCATTATTCCTATATCCCTTTATATATACTCATACAATCACTCATCCATGCCCTATGTCCACTAACACATGACCTACAGTTGAAGAGATTAGAGTGTGGGTTTTCAATTCAGGCAGAATTAGGTTTGAATTTTCTTTTTTTTTTTAATTGTTGTAATTAAGTGAAGTTTACTTTTCAAGTTAATCTCCCATACAAATTTTTTTTTACATACATTGTTATGAGACCCCGATCACTCACCCCATTCTGTGACAGCACACTCCTCCCCTCCGCCCCTGATTCCCCATGAACGTTCAACCAGCTCCTAACTCTCTCTGCCTTCCCATCTTATGTCTGGACAGAAGCTGCCCCTTTGGTCTCTTGTATCTACTTGACTAAGAGGCACATTCTTCACGAGTATCACTTTATGTCCCACAGTCCAGTCCAATCCCTGTCTGAAGAGTTGGGCTCAGAAATTGTTTTAGTTCTGGGGTGATAGAGAGTCCAGGGGCCATGCTTTC